TTACCAAAATATCGACATAATGCTGGCCAATTCTGAACCCTACGTAGGTTTATGTAAGATTTATTTTCCTGATGTATATATAGAATATATATAGGTATCATGGGGAACGAGTTTCATTTTTTCCCTAGACTTTTAGTTTTTGATAGGACAATTAGGACGGATATATGACAAGTATAAAAGAACAAGTTGAAACAGTAATTAAATAATATAAACCTATTTTACTTTCTTCTATAATACAATCCGTTCCGGTCAACCTCTTTTTATTAGGACGAAACCAGAACGGGATTTCTTCTGGGACACGTCCAATCCATTTTAACTGCATTCTGGATAACAAATATGATGTATTAGGATATTTTGATGAGACACATTTGTCCCTAGTTAAAATTTTACTAGGGCCAAGGTAAATGAATATGCTTTGATAGTGTCTCCTTGCAATATATGATCGAAGTCAGAAAAACATCAAGATAGGTGAAACTTTGTATCACTATTGATATTATGACACAGTGAGATAAATCAGTTTTGTATGTATATTATACTATTTGATATTTTTACTTTATATTTTTTCACGTCACACAATTAATTATTTTTGATGATCAGCAAGTGTCCAGGAGGGAATGTATATAGCATATAGATGGGAATGAGTTTCATTTTTTCCCTAGACTTTTGGTTTTTAATAGGACGATTAGGACGGATATATGACAAGTATAAAAGAACAAGTTAATACAGAATTAAATAATATAAACCTATTTTACTTTCTTCTATAATACAATCCGTTCCGGTCAACCTCTTTTTACTAGGACGAAACCAGAACGGGATTTTTTCTGGGACACGCCCAAATCCATTTTAACTGCATTCTGGATAACAAATGTGATGTATTAGGATACTTTGATGAGACACGTTCGTCCATAGTTAAAATTTTACTAGGGGCCAAGGTAAGTGAATATGCTTTAATAGTGCCTCCTTGCATATATAATCGAAGTCAGAAAAAACATCAAGATAGGTGAAACTTTGTATCACCATTGATATTACGGCATGGTGAGATAAATCAGTTGTATGATAGATATACCTAGGGTAATGAGATTTTTTTATGTTTCCTTCGGACGTGAAAATCATAGGTCGGTATTAATAGATACCAAATTAATAGAAATACTATGGACTGGATATTAATAAAAGTAATAGACTTTTGATTACCAAAATTTTATTATCATAAATTTATTGTGTTTACGCTAAGCAAAGTATGCAAGGTTTTAAAAAACTTGTATATATATATATAAAAAAAAACAAATTTATGAATTTACAATTGAAAAAGTTCGCGATACTTGAAGGTACTATCTTGTTTATAGGGATCTACGGTTGAGTTAGGGTCAATCCACAACTCATTATTAGCCCGATGTCTAATATAGTAATTCTTCTGGTTGAAACTCTGGAAGCGAACACCACCATTATCACCTAAATATTTTTCGTAATGTTTGATTGGTCAAGAGATATTTGAATTCGATTAACACATAATATCAACAAAAGAATAACGTAATAATACCTGAGGAAAGGATGAAAGTGGCATCATCCTTGAATGAATCTGAGCCATCGCTTTTGGCAAGCTTGATACGAAAATCTTGATGTCTTAAATATTGATCTGGAAAGTTTACGCTTTGAAAGCTGATACCAACACCATTCAAACCGGTGACTATCGTAAATATGAAATCAGGGACAAGATTTGGATCTACTTGACGGATAAGCCCAAGGAAGTTTTGGTGCGAAATATAATATCCAACGTTATTTGAACTTTCAAAAGCTCCGACTTGTGGTGGTGTCTGATATTTAAAAAGACATAAGATTAATAATCACCGGTGGTAATAATTGAATAATTTTTACAATAATTATCACTAACGAGAAAAATTTATTTACAATTGAAGTCATTTTTAGTTTTTGGTTTACGTTTCAAGAAAATAATCTTTTTTAACAAAAGATGATGTTGGAAAGTGTTTTTACACAGCTATTTATATAATGATTGGTAAATTCTGGGACCTCATTTTCGTCTTTTCAAAGAAGCCTGGGTAATGATGACGTGTGTGGCTATACCTGTTCTAATTTAAATTGATAGATAAAAATAAA